GAGTATTGTACACACTATTAAAATTATGCATACTTTTAAGTCAATTCATATTATATATATAGGAGATTGAAATGTCTCCCTTATATGTGGATTTTGCTTTCAATTTAGTCAACGTGCATAAAAAACATGGAAAAAGAATGCAACTCTACTTAAAAATACGTGCATGCAACATGCTTTATATAGGCTGACATGAGGAATTAAAAAGAAAATAAACATAATGTTCGTGAACTTGAACTTGGCCTATTTGAATTATGAGTCGAACTCGGGCATAGTTAGTTAAAAAATCAATAGCTCATAAATAAAAAATAATAATTATATAATTTTCTACAATTCAACTGAGTTAAGAGTTGAGTTAGGAACATGCATATTGATGAACAAGCAGAGTTCATACTTGTCTCAGTTGTCTATAGGCTCGTTGAGCTCTACTTGATAAAAGCTCAAACACGAGTTCGCGTATCAAGAGTTCGAACTCACTGAGTCGGCTCATTGACCCTTCTCCTTGACTATTAATCATATTATTATAATTAGAATATACAAAGTGCACTGTTAACCAACTAGCTTTGTTTTGTATCTATTTACAAATTTTTATAGAAGTAAAACTCAAAAGAGGAATCAATAAGGCCGTTAGGCTAAACAACCATATTTTTTAGTAAGTGAATATATTTTCAAATTCAAATGACATACTTTTAAAAACAATATAACCAATATTTTGTAACAAACGTATTTATTTTTATTTTAATATAATATTTCAACTCATCTAATTGTTAAACTAAGTAATACAAGAATTTGGACACAATTTTCTTGATGTTTAACTGTTTTCACGAGAAAAATTCAATGTTCAATCAGTTATTGCATGCACCCGTGACCCAAAATCAATTCACCTGGGGTTGGCTTCACATGTCTCTCTGTACTGTATTAACTAATTTTCTCATTAATTATTTTGTCCCACAAATATATTGTTTTTTAATAAATAAATGTCTCAATGGACGTATTGTTTTTTCAGAATCTAGTTAGTAATAATAACTAGTAGCAACAAAAACATATTTTTAGCAATTTCAAAAGTTGATTTTAGCTGTTTTTAGATACTCCATGATCTATTTATTCGGTTCTTACTCCATGTGGATTAAATTTCAAAAGGGCTCGTTTGTTTTTTTAGATGGGATTAGACTAAATTAATACGTAGTGGGTGGATTGTACTGTGTGGATTAAATTAAACTTGTGTTTGTTATTTATGATTGTAATTTAGATAAGATAATTTTATAATTCCTATAGCATTTGTTTACAGGGATAATTCACAGGATAAAACATAAGAAGTCAATTATACCCCTTTAATATTTTAATATTAAAGAAAAGATCTTTCTATCTCTCCGTGAATTCACCCACCGACCCCTCTAAACCTCCATTGCCCTCTTCCTCCCAAACTCTTGTGCGAGAATCCTACCTTTTTTTTCTAATTTTTTTTCTTTTTTCTTTTATTTTCCTTTTAATACTAATCAATAGCCTCTTTTGTCTCTCTCTCTGTCTCAAACTCTATATCGGCGACAGTCTCTTATTCACGCTTGATCATTATAGATCTGCTCTTCCTTGGCGGCGGCCTCCTCATCGTGGAGGAGCGATTCTGGGAAGAGAGCAGATGGAGATCGTGGCAGTGGCGCGGTCAAATCTACGACGGTACCATTTAAGAGAGAGTACTAAAGAAGCAACACAACTAATTTTCCCCAAATTTTAACAGGAACCAACTATAATGCCCGAGAGAAAAAGGAAAAAAATGAAACAATTATTTTAGACTATATGCAGATGTAGCCGACGTCTCGAGTTGGACCTCCAAATTACGCTTTCAGGCTTGCTCGTGCTTCAGCTGCTCGTCCATAGCGGCGGCCTCCTCGTCTCAAAGGAGCAGTAATGGGAAGGTTCTATAACATATAAAATTTTGGGGACTAAATGGACATTTTCTACCTGTTGCACTGTAGGGATGGAAATTATCTCACCTTTCACATGAGATCAAATAGTCGTGAATATGCAAGATTAGTGGCTTTTTTATCGCGGGCCGAACTTTATCTGCGGGCTTTAGTCTTGCATACCAAACGAAGGATTACCCCATGATTATGAGGGTAATCCTGTCTAATCATGCAAACCAAACGTGGCCAATTATAGAATGAATTAGGATAAGAAAAAATGACTTGTTACTTGTTACCGTCCATACCTTTTGCAATTTTGTATGTCAATAGAGTTGTTAAACGAAGAGCCATTTATGAGTCTGTCTCAATTTGTTAAATATTGGAGTTTTTATGTAATTTTTTAATTTTTTTTATATTAGTTCAGTTCATCAATCTTGATAATTGAGAGGCTCGACTCGATAAAAAGCTCGAATTCGAGTATTAAAATATCTAACTCAACTCGACTTTGAGAAGTTGAAAGTAGATTGTTTTTGCTCTCTAGAACCACAAAAGAGTCACAATCACACTGAATAAAACATATTCCTTGTAAATATTTTTAAGATATAGAGTACATAAGTCGGTGGACATATTAACATGTGCCCACCGTGGGCATGTGAGCATTTCCCAGAGTATCTATATATCTATATAATTACTAGCTAATAGCATTTAAGAAAACTTATTTAATAAAACCTCTAAAATTTTTCCTCCATTTTCGGTTACAAAGTTTATCATTAATACTTCTCACATTAATACATCCTATTGAGTGTAATCATGTATTTTTTTATTATATCATATAATAATTAATGCTAATACCAACTAATAATATTCACAATAAATATAAATTGCATAATTATAAACAATTGTTTTAAGTTATTTATTTTAACATCAATATTATCTTTTTCTTTTGTATCTCATGAAAAAATTTCTTTAAAAAAATTAGTAAATTGTTTTAATAGCATAGTCAAACGATTTTAGAATCTTATAAACAATTGTTTTTGTAATAATAATAATAATAATAATAATAATCAAACTGTTATTATCTAATGATAATATATAATTTTTCATAATACTCAACAATTATTAATTTATTTTTTCTAATGATTAAATTTTAAAAATGTAACATGTTCATTATCTAAAATTTTAATATTAAATTCTCAAATATTACTTATAATATTTTATGTACATCTGTACACAGGATATTTACTAGTATAAAATAAATATTGGCAACCAGTAAATCTTTTATCGTATGGTCAAGAACAACAACTTGACGAGAATAAAAGTCATTTCAATTATATTCTCAAAGAGAAAAACAAGTTGGGAGTACAAAATTCATTGAATCATACTATTTATTTTAGTGTTCCTGGGTTTTTATTTTTATTTTTATTTTCATAAATTGTGAATCCAAACTTACAAATGTACGTTCTACACTATTTCGCTATGTTTTTGTCTTTTGTTTTAAAAGAAAAAAAAAATCCGCATAAAATTTCGATTACTCACACTTCATTTATAATAATCACATGAAATAATTCACAACGAACCAACATGATGATGTCACCATTTGTAACCCAACAAGCAAACACAAATGTTGAAGAAGGTTGACTTGTGCAATTTCTTCTCGAGGCACCTGTAATTCTCTAACCTCTCTGTTGAGAAATGGAATCCGATCTCAGCTTCAGCTTCTCCGATGTCGAGCAGGTGGGCCCTTCGACGGAAGACGAAAGGGGCAACAGGGTTTACAAAGCAGTCAACCGGCGCACCGGCGGCGCGCTCCTCGTGAAGGAATTCTGCAGCGGCTATAACCCTCTCAAAATTGCAGAAATCCGCCGCGAGATCGAAATCTTGAAGCGCTTGGATCATCCAAACATCTTGAAATGCTACGGCGCGTTCGACATGGGCGGCGGTACGATCCGTCTTTTCCTCGAGGACATCGGCGGCGGCGGACGAACCCTCGCAGGTTACAACGTCCCGAGTGAACGCGAGGTCGCCACCGTTGCCCGCCAAGTTCTCCTCGGGCTGCGGTATCTTCACGAGAAAGGGATCTCGCACGGAGATCTCAAACCCTCGAACATCTTCGTCGATTTCGGGAAGCCGACGGTCAAGGTTTTGTATCTGGGGAAGATTCTCGCCGGCGATGAAGTGGTGGGGCCCCAAGACACCGGAGCCGTCCACGATGAGTTCAGTTGGGATGTTTGGAGCGTGGGTTTGTGCATCCTGAAGCTAGTCAGGGGATCGAAGGTGCAGAAGCCATCAATGGCGTTGTTGGGTTTTCTGTTGAGTTGTATGCAGGCTGAGGAAGATGTGTCGAATAGATGGAGCGTCGATGATCTTCTCGAAAGCTCGTTTTTGAAACAGCCGTATGTCGTGTTGCCAAAGGTTTAGTCTCTCTTCTAATTCATTCCATTGAAGCAAAATTTCGATTTTCTTGCAGTTTGGGGATTTGTAGGTGCTATAAAGAAGTATATTTCTGATCAATCCATAGAAGCAAAGTTTTGATTTTCTAGTAGTTTGGGGATTTGTAGGTGCTTTAAAGAAGTGTATTTCTGATCAAAATAAAATTGGTTCAAGTATTTATTCTATCCTGTTGCCTTTTTGCTCACAGTTGAATTGGTTTGAATTCATTAGAGGTATGTTACTGAATGTGCAAGTTCTTGTGGGTTTTGCATTGGAAAATGAAACGAATCAGGAGTCTATTCAGATTTTGATTTGATTGGTGTCTTACTTTATTCATCAGAATATTGATATCCCTGTAAAACTCTGCAGCTAGAATTTTCTGCTTCACATGCTTCTGCATCAACTCTATCTCACAAAGGAGAGCAAATTAGCCCGAAAAGAAAGTCTTCAGTAACTTCTATGGGTGTCGAGCAGGTCCCAAAGGAAGTGAAAACCTCAGAAGACCCTTTAGGGATAGTACCTCAGATTCTTGAGATATGCTATCTGCATTGTGTCATGTTACTTACAGACTGTGAATTTGAAAAGAATAAATTGGTACAGATGTGGATTGCCGAAGAGTGCATCGAATTTGACGAGACAGAAATTATGGAGGATGTAGCTACCTTATACTTCAACGAGTTAGTGTATCAAGAGCTTGTGATCCCTTCAAGCTTCGATCCTCTTTACGAAAAAATGAAATACAAAGTGAACTCATCGAAATCTCCCGCTTTGTTTGCAGAACAAGGTAGTTATACTAGAATTGGCGAAAGTGATAAGATTCCTAGAGAAGCCTTGCATTTTGTATGGGATTGCAAAACACACGACCAAACCATGTTTGATGCTCTTAAAAATCTGAAGCAGTTACGGACTCTGCGTGTGCATTGCAGTGTTCGAATCGATCATTTACTCAGTGACATTTTTGTGGCCTTAAAGTTATTAAGGACATTGGATTTGAGCCACACTCATATATTCGAAATACCAGGTTCGATTAGATTAATAGAAGGATTGCGATATCTTGATGTCTCTGAGACACCTGTCAAGCGGCTACCTCAGTCGATAGACTGTCTGTATTCTTTGCAGACACTAAATCTCAGAAATTGCTTTGGAATTTCTGCTTTGCCGAAGGGGTTAGGTCGATTAACGAACCTTCGTCATCTTGATCTTAACATTATCGGTCAATTGGAGTTTATGCCTATTGGGATGGGAAATCTGGTTAAACTTCAAACTTTACAGGCATTCATTGTTGGGAAAAACGATGGTTGTGGCATCGAGGAGCTGAAAAGCATGAACGACATTACGGGTTCGTTTTGTATCTTCAAGCTCGAAAATGTGTCGAGTGGAGAGGAAGCAAGGAAAGCCGCATTGTGTGATAAGAAACGGATCAATAAGCTCGAGTTAAGATGGCAAGTTTGCAGTAGTTCAATAGAGGCAACGCAGATCTTGGAATGTTTAAAACCACATTTTAGCCTAAAAGAGTTACAGATAACGCAGTTCGGTGGTTTGAAGCTCCCGAGTTGGATAACCGATCCTTCTTACGCTCATCTCGCTAGCATTACTCTCTACAAGTGTATGAATTGTGATATATTACCTTCCCTTGGAAAATTGCCTTCTCTTAAGATACTCCACATTGTGGAGATGAAAAGTTTGGCGAAAATCGACACGCTATTCTGCAGGGATTCTGGTGGAGTTCAAGTACTCGATCCATCTGTTAAGGTAGAGAATGCTTTTTCGAAGCTAGAGAAATTGACGATTGAGAATATGTCGGAGCTTGAAAAATGGACAGGGATAGAGGATGGGGACTTCCAGTGCCTTAGCCATATTTCGGTTAGATACTGCCCGAAACTTTATTTTCTCCCGTCATTTTCGTGTCTGTGCTCGCTACAGCATTTGGAAATAAACAACTGTGTGAAGCTGCTTTCTTTGCCAAAAGATTCATTGCCGGCATCACTCGAGACTTTAATAATAAAAGGATGTCCGAATATAAACGAACGGTGCCGCAAGGATGGAGGAGGAGAGGACAGTATCAAGATTGTAGAGGTTAAAAATGTGTGGATTGATTTTGAAAATATTTCTTTGAATTGATGCTTTGTACAGTAAAAGTTGGGTTTCTGAAGAATAAATGCTGTGGTTGTCCAAAAAAGGGGGAAAAGAAATGTGAAGAAATAAATAAAAGAAAAGAAAGAGAGATCCCTGGATTAGATGAGAATCTCATGTCTTGCTTTTGTGTTGTAATTTGTTTGTATTCTAAAGTTTCCTGTACATGAAAGACATTATTCGAGAACTCGAAATGCAAAATGTTATAAATGTATTGGATCTTTATTTATCAATGTAGTGAATCTATCATAATTTTTACGATTATCAACTTCTCGATTGTGAATGAACAGATTGTCGTGGATCGACATGATCATTTGCAGTGTCTTTTGTTATTTAAGCCACGTTATAATAATACTAATTAGTAATTACATCTACATTTTAGTGAGCACTTGAGTATTTGCTTATGAATACTCGCAAGATATCATGAAAATTTGCAATCACCTTTACATATTTAGTTGTCATTAATAACAATTTCTAAGGTAAACAATTGTGGCCAGGGCCTGCAAACTCACAGACTCACAGACAATCATAATGCAAACTGGAATTAGAAAGACTAAAACCTGAGGCTTTGCAGACACACACACACACACACAAGCATCGATATAAATGCCATAAAACATGGTGATAAGTGAACACCGATTACATGCACATATAATTCTTACCGTACCAAACACGATATTATACAAATTTAAAGAGGCAATTACATCAAACTTGTTCCTCCATGTTATCCATGTTTTGCCTCGTGCAGGTATGAGAATGTATGTATTCTACCCTGAATTCACATGGTTCAGTGCGAATCCTCTGAACAGTTTTTACAGCCCGACAGCGTTGACTGTACTTACGCCCACATCTGAAATATGATCTGCACATATAAAAGATTTCAGTCTAATCATCTTGAATTTCCAAGCTATGAAGGCACCCAAACAAGCATCGAATTCCAAGCTACTTGGCATACATAGCTGTTGTGAAAAAATCATGCACTTTAAGCAAAGCCCTTACACAAGACAACATAAAAGATAAAGAAAAAAAAAAGAAGAAAATAAAAGAAAATGGTTTCACCAACTCATGTGCAATAATTATGAGTGCAATTGTATCATCACCTTGGATATTCGCTATTCAAAATCAATTTCTGGCCGTACTTGCACCAAGTGTATCCATCGTCACGCGACAAATCAGAGATTGATACTACCCGTGTATCTACGTTTGTACGCCTGCTAAGCCAATCAGCCAAAAGTCCTAAGAAACATCTCCGTGAAGATGAATAACTTCAACTAAGATATTCTTTGAAACATAGAAAGGGTTCTTTACAAAATTGTTAAAGATAATCTTGAAATGTTTTTTGTCTTTATTCCCTCATTTCAAAACAGCCCTTCATATTCATTGATAGACGGAAGAGTTTATAATTAAGAAATGTTAGAATTAATTTTAAAGTTAAGTAGCCTTTTTTTCTTTGTCCCTTTTCTTTTCGGCATAATATATCCAACTAAAGACCCTTTCATAATACATATATGTGTGTGTGTGTGTGTAATAAAAAAATATGTGTAGTTATTTTTATATACTCCACCGGTCAGGCTACCCAAGATAGGCTTGAAGAAAACAGAGATCAAATCACGGAAATAAAGAAAAAAATAAGTAATTTGGGTACACCAGCTTTAGTCGTCTGATGAGTAATAAATAACATACAAACGAAAATAAGCCCATTGTTAAGAAAGGATGAACAAGTAAAACCATTCTTCAGCAGACGGAAAGAATAATAACAATTATGTAAAAAGTTATTAATCGAAAGAGTTAATACTGTATATTAATATGATCTATTCAATATTTTTATGATTATAATCAATATGAAGTCCCAATTATATACTCTATTTTGTAATTGTGAAGTTGGCTGAAATATTTGTAATCGCGAAAGTTAGCTGTGATTTTTGTAATTGGGTCAAATCTCAAGCGTACATTTTGTAATCATCGCAAAAATATAAATCACCTTCTCTTTGAACTACCATCTGACGGGATTTCATGGGTGAAAACATGGTCGAGGGAATCTTCTATGTTCTCGGGCATGGACATTAATTCATCAAGAATCGACAGAGCTTCGTCATAAGAAGTCAGCATTTTATCCAGAGCTTTCCCTTGTTTTCCATCAGAAAAAGTAACAAAAGCAGCATCTCTGAGATGCTGCACTTGGTCTCGTCCTTTCACGACCTCATTTACGAGCTTCCTGTATCCCTCATGCGACTCGCTCGACATGCTGTTACCTGAAAAGATGTTGAGAGAGATAAAAACGCTTGAATGTTATGTGATAAAACATTTTGGATGTGCTCTACCTGTGATGTGTTTCAGCAACTGAACTCACATTACTTTTTGCCACTAAATATCTCAACTAATAGACAACTATTCCCATTAGAGTTGAAATCGAGGTTTGAGAAGAATCAGTTCAAAGAAGCTAATGTTAGTTATATACTCCCTTCATCCTACAATTCATATTTTGGAATTAATTGCAGTATTAGTTACACACTCCCTTCCTTCATCATATAGTTTATATTTTTATTTTAGGTGTCTCAATAGAAGCAAATATTTTTTCTTTGAATATGGTATTCAACTTAGATACAAAAAATAAAATAGAGGAATATAGCTATTGAATAAAATAGCAATTGTATGCTTACTATACATAAATTTGTTAATTATCATCAAATGCCCATTATATAATCTTGCTCAGATACCTACAAGTGACCATCTCTTTAGAGCACATGGCTCATAATACGGCTTGCCAATTTCTGTACTTTCAGTAAGCCAGCAAGAATAAATTAACCTCACACTGAAATGAAAAGAGTCTAATAAATGCTGAAATTATGCGATACAAAGCATCTTCCTAGAAGAGAGTGAGATCAGTAATCCAGAAAAATCAACACGAGAGCCCGATACACGAATTCAGCTAACGTCAATCGAGCATTTACCTCTTATATATTCCCCATAATTTTCTGAACCTTAAAGGTTACGATTATGCCATACAAAGCATCTTCCTAGATGAGAGTGGGATTAATAATCCAGAAAAATCAACACGGAGAGCCCGATGCACGAATTCAGCTAACTTCAATCAAGCATTTACCTCTTATATTGGCTTTCAGTCTACATACTTCCCATAATTTTCTGAAACTTCAACGGGGTGATTAAACTAGAGAAATACTAAGATCCATACAGACAAGACCTTCATTTACTAGAGCTTGTGAAGAATAATCCTACAGTGAAACTTCATGTGTTTCCAAAACCTTTTGATTCTGAAAAAAAAAAATGATACTGGTGAAAATTCAGCTTGTCCATGGCTATCAAGATCTTAGACCAACAAACACGGAGAAAAGATGAAACACTGGAGGATTATCGAACAACGATGCGCAGCAAACAATATAACAAGAATAGTGTACCAACACGTTAGAAGAGCTTGACAATAAAGCGTGAAAAAAAAGATGGACAAATGAGAGGACGGCGCAATCTGTGCCTTCGATGAAACCGCCGCCCTTTCCGTACCTTCAGAGAATGATTTTTCCGATGGGAGAGCCTTCCAGCCCGTCGAGAGTCTCTATCCGGCGGTAATTTTTTCGTCTCCGACAAATTCCCGCAGTCACTCTAGTTGGATTTTCGATTAATCTCAAATTGAAATTGATTTTAGTAAAACCAACTTATAAGGAGTATGTGATAGCTTAAATGAGTTAAAAATAGTTTTTAATTGATATATAAGGAAAATGCTCACATGCCAACGATGGGCACATGTTATTATGTCTACCGTTTATGTGGCATGCACATTTGTGATGTTAATAAACTAGTACAATGCCGTAAATTACGAGGTGTTTCATTAAGAAAAAACTAAAATTTTTATTGTGAAATAAAAAAACTATAAATAATTAATAAGAAGGTAATTTTTTAGATATATTATTTCGAATTCTAAAAAATATTTTTATGAAGTATTATTTATTTTATTTAATATATATTTATTTTTGTAAAAATTAACTAACTAATTTATTCGGTAGTTAATATAACGTCCGTGAACAATATGGGTGCTTGAAAATTAAATATTTCTATCACAATAAAGAAGTGAAGAAATTTATATTATATAGAATGGTAAAAAGTTAAAAATACAAATAATAAACAAAAAATAATAGAGTTAATTGTTTAAGATAATATCCATGTTTTATACTCGATTTATCGAAATGATATTTTTAAAACCCCCTCCCCCACCACCACCACACACATTGTGTTATTTACAAGTTTGAATTAATTTAATTTTTTCAAGTTGGATTATATTTATACAATTTTCTTTTCTATTTTAATATTTTTTAAAATATTTTTAACTTTATAATATTCAAATAATTTAAAATATAATGTGTATGAGATTAAACAATATGAAAAATAATAATTCTTTTTATTATTCTAGTCATAATGTTTATTTAGTTTTCTTTCAAGACCCTTATAATATGCACACTCTATATAGTCTTTATTTAAGTTGAGACATAAAGTGTAGAATATTTTTTTTATATTAATTTGATGTTCATAATTAGTTTATATATTTTTTTTAATAAAATAACTATTATATGGTATGTTAATACACATAAATTTCTATTACATTATGATGGAGACGAGGCGCCCCTAGCATATTTGGACAAGTTTGATCGACTCCGTATTTGATTATCTATGCATTTTTATTATTTTTATTTGATTTATGTTATTTCCTTAGTTAATAGTTATTTTGAGTAGGAAATAAATATCTTGCACTTGTTTTGCAAGATAAGGACTCTTTGTTTTATTTATATTGAATGAAAACCGTGAGAAGAACTCACGTTGGAAATAAAATTTATCTGTTCATTGTGAGAGAGTATCTCAAATTTATTTGTTCGTCTTGGGAGAGTATCTCAAGAAGGCCCGATCGTATCACATTCTACATCACTTTATAAGATAATTTATAATTTTGTTTGAAATTTTTTAATTTAGTTTGATGAATAAATTTAATTTTTTTATAAGGATATATATCAATGTTTTGTATTTTATATAATATAATATGGACGTCAAATCGTAGATCATTAAAAGATAATTAATTTGATATATGTCAAATCGTAGATCATTAAAAGATAATTAATTTGATATATCATATATAAAAAATAAAATATAAACCAAAAATTTTAATACTAAGAAGATAAAATATTTATAATAATTGATGTATTAATTAAATAAGAAAAGAAAATATAATATATGGTAATATAGGAAAATAAAGCGTAAAATAGTTTATGGTAACTAACTATAAAAGAAAATAATAAAGATATCAATCATAGATTTAATATGAATAATATAGACGTTAAATGAAATCTAAGACTAATTATTTCTATATAAAAAATATTAATTAATATTCAGTCTTGACTCTGAAGCATGAATTATTGCCATATAGGATTCAGAAGTGTGAGAACCTGACACCTAAGCTCAACGCATTCGATAATTATATATAGATGTGATGTGATGTGATATATAAGGGTGATGAGTAAAAATTATTATTTTTATTTTGTAATGCAAGTCCGTATAAGATAATATTTCATCGTCCATTAAAATATGGGTTCATGTTTCAATTTGAATTAAAAGAATATCGCGTTTTAAATTACTACATTAGAAAGATTGTGTTTATATTTCAATTGAAACAAATATAGTTTTGCAATTTTGATGTAGTGATACTAATAACACTATTCTTTGTCTCGACTATTCTCCGCTGGTTAAGGCCGGTTCATTTGCCGTGGAAGGGTCTTGTGTGTTTTTTCGTTGTCTTATGGTGGAGTAGGTTTGTGTTTTTGGTTTTGGCTCTTTGCCTATGTGTCCATGTCCTGTGTTTTTGGTTTGGGCAGTTGCCCATGTGCGCCCGATGTCAACTTTATTATCCTGTTGAGATTGGACACTCGGTATCATCCCGTTTGGATCTTTTTGTAGTTTTCGTTGTAGTTTCTGTAGTTGATTTGCGTAGTGGCGAGTTTATTATTCTAGCTTTGTTAGTTTAGGCTCTAAGCGATCCTTTGGATCTGCCTCCCAGTTTTATCAGTCTTTGGTTGTACTATTCTTCACACTTTGTGCGATTTTATTTATATAATACCGCTATTGGTTTGAAAAAAAAAAGATACTAATAACAATATTTTATTTCATGTGTTTATTTATTAAATTACATGTAAAGGTGCATGTGTAGTTAGACTTAAGCTTTTCTTCTACAATATAGATTTGACAAAATATGAATGTGTTTTTTTAATAATTATTATCAATTAACCAAATATACTTTCCTTATCCCTCTTCTCTCCTATACATTAATTCAAAACGTGTTGAGCCTAAGTGGCAGACTCGCACGATTTAGAATCATGTCACAATATCATGTTTCGTATTTAGGTTCGGATAAAAAATTTGGAAACCAAATTGAGTTGGAAAATGTCATAAATAATTTTTCCCTCATACATTATTGTCTCACATCAATCTCTCTTTCATTACCAAATTTGTCTTGAATTTAAAAATCACACAAATATTTCTTTTCTTATTTCATTTTTCCAGTTTTTACACTCAACGAGTATGTTTTTTAGTTTGGAGTTTAATAACATAGTTATATTACTTGTGGCAAAATTTGATACTTTAGTTAAATATATTTTTTTCATGCACTCGTGTAGTACACGGATACCGTATTAGTATTTGTTTAAAATAAAGCTTGAAGAAATAAAAGCCAAAACGAGTGGGGGAAGACGCTTGGCAATTGCTTGGACGGTCCATCCTTCATTATCTACACATATAATATATAAATAAAGAATTGTCAAAAGCGCGTTGGTTGACTTTTGGAAATTACCTGTAGGCATATTATGTACTGATATATATTAAATAAATTTGCATTTAGCATATAATAATAAAGCAAAACATCATGAAACAAAAGTATGAAATGGTCAAAGGACAGGTTACCAAAGAAAAAATTATTATTTTTGTTTAATATTAGTATAAAATGTGCAGAAAAAACTGGTGTTACAGAAGTGATGGTAAACATAACTAGTATGGACTCACATATAATTTAACGAACTTGTTTAAAATCGTTTAGTTAAAAAACCGAACAATACCCTTTATGGCTTGAGAATATAATTTTTTATGTAATTTTTTTAGGACAACAAAATTCCTAAATTTAGGTTGAGTTCAGTGATATACGGCAATTTTGGTCCGTATTATCTATAAATTGTTTGATTTTTTTAAATTATTATCTTATTTTATCAAAATAAAATGAGACTGTGTCGAGATGAGAAAAATTACTGTGTGAAGAAGTGAAGACCACAATCAACTGATCAAGTCAAGCGACTCACCTCCCGGTCGCCGCCGATCACAAACCCATGGATTCCGTCCTTCAAGCCGGGATCGTATCAGCCCCACTGCAAGTCATAATCGATAAGCTCACAACCCTAACCGTTCACGAAGCCAGCCTCATCTTCGGAGTGGACGACCAAGTCAGGAAACTGCAAAGAGCCCTCGAGCGGACTCGGGCCATCGCGGCCCGCGTCGAGGAAGACCCCCCGCTACTTTCCGGCGACGAGGCCCGCCGCCTCTGGCTTCAGGACGCCGAGGCCCTCTTCTACTCAGCCGACGACTTGCTCGACGAGATCTTACTCGACCTGGCCCGGGCCCGCTTATCCGGCGCCGGCGAGAACGAGATCCGCAACGTGCTCCTCTCATCCTTCAAGATCGCCGTCCCCCGGGAGGTCAACAGGATCAGGCAAGATCTGGACGACATTGCCAAGGAGATGGAGGCCCTTTACGCCGCCGGGCCGGGCCTCGGCCCGGAAAGGCATCGCCGCCCCTCCACAAGCTCCCTTTCCGCCGGCGGGCCCGTCGTCGGGAGAGACAGGGAAATCGACGAGATTGTCCAGATATTGCTGTCATCCGACAACGACAAAACCGATGTCATCGCTATAGCCGGCATGGCCGGGATCGGCAAAACCTCCCTCGCCCGGGCCGTCTACAACGACGCTCGGCTTCGAGGTTTCGATCTGAAGATGTGGGCCCACGTGTCCTTGGATTTCGACCCGACCCGCATCACGAGGTCTCTCGTAGAATCAGCAACAGGCTCGCCGTGCCAGCTGTCGTCCCTAGACGCGCTGCAGGCCGGGCTCTCGGGTTTGGTCCGGGGGAAGAGGTTTCTAACAGTGCTCGACGATTACTGGATCGAAAAAGACGACGACTTGGCCGACTGGGACATGCTCGTTTCGCCTCTCGTGACCCGCGGGAGCAAGATCCTCGTCACCACACGTAGCTCCAGTCTCGTGGGGCCCGCCATTCCCTATCTCCTACACGGCCTTTCGGACGAGGCCTGCTGGGAGCTGATCAGGCGGAGGGCCTGCCCAGGCCTCCTAAGCAGCAGCGGCAGCACGCGATTGGAGGAGATCGGGCGGAAGATCGCGACGAGATGCGGAGGATCGCCGCTCGCGGCCCGGGCAGTCGGGGGCATGCTGAGGTTTAACGACGGCCCTGACCGGTGGGAATCCGTCTTGAGAAGAAGCCGGTTATGGGACGAGGCCGATGGAGTCTTCACGGCCCTTGCCGTGAGCTACCACCGCTTGCCGACCCGCCTCAGGAAATGCTTCGCATACTGCTCGGTTTTCCCCAAGAATCACGAGTTCGAGGCTGCCGACCTCGTGCTGATGTGGATGGCGGAAGGTTTCGTGGCCCCGCGCGAGAAGCTCCGGTCGGAGGATATCGGGCACGGTTATTTCGAGGATTTAGTTTCGAGATCCTTCTTCCAGTTCTCCCACGAACGTGAAGGCCGCAAATTTTACACAATGCACGACACCATCCACTGGATGGCCCAAGCCGTGTCGTGTCGCTCGTGTTTGCGCGTCGAAGATGATGACGACCTCATTCTCACAGACACGATTTCAAGAAACACGCGCCATTTCTCGTTGGCTTGCCGACAGCTGGCGATTCTCTCGGGATCACTCCTATGGTACGAGAATTTACGAACCTTTCGAGTTATGATACATGGCGGGAGAAACACTACTTCCGGTACACACGTCCCGTACGACTTCTTTCTGAGGTTGAAAGTCTTGAGGGTACTTGACTTGAGTCGCGCGGGACTCGACGAGTTGCCCGACTCTATCGACCACTTGAAACACCTGCGCTATCTCGATTTATCCGAGAATCGCTTTCGGAAGCTGCCCGAGTCGGTCACCAACCTCTTCAGTTTACAGACTCTCAGGCTCGAGCGGTGCTTTCGGCTACTTGAGCTGCCTGCCGGCATGAAGAACATGGTGAGCCTTAGGCACCTTCATCTGAACACGAGGCAGCTTAGTCGAATGCCACCCGAGTTTGGAAAACTGGTCGATCTTCAAGGCCTGCCCGTATTTCCCGTGGGACAAGACGTAGGGTGTGGGGTTGGGCAGCTCGGGAAAATGCGGTATCTAAGGGGGTCCCTTTGCTTGAAGAATCTCGAAAACGTACCAAATTTGGCCGAGGCTCAAGAAGCCATGCTGCACAAGAAGCCGTTTATCGACAGGCTGGAATTGGAGTGGGAAGAGCACAGATCGAACGATGGGGAAATCCTCGCGGGCCTTCGTCCACACGAGAATCTCAAGGAATTGAACCTGATAAATTACGCTGGCTTTCTACTGCCGAGCTGGTTTGGCGAACCGTATCACAAGCTGTCGAGTGTCCACTTACGAGGCTGCCAGCACCACCAAATCCTCACCCCTCTCGGAAGGCTTCAGCACCTGAAATCTCTAGTTGTCGAGAGAATGCTCGACTGGCCTCACATTGGAAAAGAATTTTTACGGTTCCCATCGTTAGAGTGCCTAGTGATAAAGGAAATACCGAATTTGACGCATTGGGAGGTGCACAATTGGAACCGTTTCCCTTGCCTTCGTGAACTGGGAATCGAGGATTGCCCGAGGCTGATGAACTTGCCATCGCTAGTGAACACGGATGGGCTTCGGAACTTGAGCATTAGCCGGTGCCCGGAGATTGGCTCGTTGCCTGCCGATGGGCTGCCGGGTTCTCTTCAAGCTCTGCTGATCTCGGAATGCGATGGTCTAAAGGATAGGTGCAGAATAGAGGAAGGTATAGATTGGTGGATGATTAGAGAAGTTCCAAAGATAGAGATCGACTATGTAGAGATACCTATGGAGATGCGAAGGTTTTAGGAAATTTCAATGAAATAAAATGGCGGCTCGTTGATTCACACCTTTCATGTTAACTGTGTTCAGACTTCCAACTAGCAGACCTACTATTGACTCCACAAATTTTCTTCTCCACAACATTTGTCCATTGCAAATGGAGCTGGAAGAGTCATTGTTGACAATTCTTCTGGCATAGTGCTAATAATGGACTAGATCAAAATTGCTCAATTAAATTCTAGTGCTTCTTCTATTAGTGAAGTTTCTAGAAAAGAAAATATATATCAAACGGCGTAATGCACCTTGGGTCGCTACGGAAACAGCCTCCTTGTATAATTACAAGGGTAAGGTCTGCGTACAACTGACCCCCCAGACCCCAACCTGTTGGGAATATACTGGGTATGTTGTTGTTGTTGTTGTTGTTTTTTTTCTTTTGACAATTCACAACAAAATAACGTTTTGAAATATTTGATTCCATGAACTTTGAAATCCAAATGGTGATAAGGAAAATCTGTTGGCACAAGTCATTACAATTCAGGAGGATTACCCAAGAAAAGTGAAAAAGGATATACCGTCATTTTTTGTGAATTGTTCGCGTAATTATGGCATACTTTATAAAGCGTACGTATTTGCTCTCGACTAAAAAAACTTGCTAAGTCCCTTCTCCAAATTGCTTTTGGAGGTCACCAAAGGATATTGTGGCAGATCCTCTCCTCTTAGCTTTCTGCTGAGACGGGTGCTCTCGCCATCCGGTCATGTATATCACCTGAGTTGTGAAAATCAAGTCACAAAATCAAATTCCAAGAAAATAAAAATCACACTCGAGCATACAAACATAGGACGAAGGGCCTAGTCGGATCAATTCGCATCTTGTGGACATGCTGTAGTTATGAAAATCGATAGGCGAGACTTTCCAAATGACATCTATATGTGCATGCTTCATAAGATTAGGAAATTAATAAAAACGATCATTTTTCCAAAAACTAAAATCGACAATTCAACAGACATTGTAGAGGGGGAAAAAATAACCACAAAAATCAGAGGGAAATAATCTCACAATCACCTGAAATGTAGCTGGGATGGTTCCATCTTCTGCAGCAAACATCGACTCATAAATAGCTGCTGTAGCCAGAGCAGTATCTCTCTTCAAAATCTGATTACCAATTTAGATGAAATGTTTGGGCGAAAAAAAAAAAAATCAATTTTGATGTATTTTCTTTGGGATTAAGAAAGGACAGAAGCATAAGAATAGAGTATGGGTTATATACTTTGCCCCTCTGGAGTAAAGCATTAGTTTCACCCATGGTACGGAGATGTTCGATCAGCTCCAGAGCTACCTTGAATGGAAATCAGAAAAATCGGATATTATAATTCAACATATTTATGATAAATAGGCCAACCAAAAAAGAAGTGCTCCATTAGGCTTGATTTTATGATAAATTAGTTTGTGCATATAAAGATGAAAAAGTTTATGCATGCCTTTTTTCGTTGAGATCAGGTTGGAAAAATCATTATGTCACAAGAAATATCACTAACCGCTGTTATATTTCACAGTATATTCGTCAACATCAACTCCAGGAAGAGTGAAGCCTGCCCTAGTCAGCAGATTCCCTGCATCACGTACCTGTAAGACCAAACGAATGTCATTCTAAATAACGAGATTGATGAAACTGTTTGATTTCTTAAACAAAATCTGGCGAAATACCCAAATATTACCTTGATATTTAAATAAATACATGTAAAAACTCATTTTATTGGCGGATCACCATTATGAAATTGGCTTCATTTTATAAGTACACAGAAAAAAGACATTAATGATCATTTTGACTCTCAAACTTTCACAAGCTACTGTATGGTTCTCCAGATACAGCAGAATTTTTTAGGTACCTGAGCCAAGGGTGACATCCGAGGACTGATGCCTCCTTCACGCTCCATTTGTGCTACTGTGCATGCTATTCTCAGTTCCCTGAAAGAAGAGGAAAACAGTTGGACCTTTAACGAAGTGCAAATAAATCAAAGGTGTCATCTTTAGTTTTGTAGGTGTAACCTTAAAGTTTCTCCACCCAGAATAGCTGCCAAAAACAAGCCGTCGGGCTTGAGAGCCAATCTACTCTGCCATAAGCATAACGAAACAAATTATATCTTTGGTAATTGACTGTGATGTTTCTCATTTTGATTTGAATCAGCAAAAGCAGAGAGAAAAATGTTAAAAGAATAGACAAGAGAAAGTTGAATACAGAGAACAAACAGGAACCTGAATCATGGCTCCTGGAAGATCATTAGTCCAATGAAGTCCCAAGCTACTAATAACCAGGTCGACAGAGCTAAGNGCAAAAAAAAAAAAAAAAAAAACAAATCAAGCTAGTAATGCCGTTTGTTTAACAAAATATGTACGAGGTGCTATAAACTGCAAGATGCATGAGTTCAGTTCATATTATACATACCTTTCCTTCACGGGTAGAAACTCTTCGTCACCGACAATGAAAGATGTTTCGACATTTTTGTTAGGTGATTGATGTTCGTTTTCTTTACATAATTTCACCATGTCCGGTGAAGTGTCCATCATTATAAGTTTTTCTATGCCACCTGAGTAGGACATATACCCCCGGTTATTTACAAGCTAAAATCCTTAACGTGATCTTTTGGCCCTTTTGTATCTTGTCTTTATTCTTTAAATGGATATTACAGTCCCATATCCATTAATTAACTAGGTCACTATTACTGTTCAATGATGTAGTCACTTCGCATTGTTTATCCAATGTACGTTAAAAGACGAGACAAGAGTCCAGCAAAGTCAAGACTAGTTTTCAAAAGACAAATTAACTCCTACATGAAAAAAAGAGAACGATAAATGGATACATATGAATGAAATTTCCAACCAGTAAATGCAAAGCTGGTAATTTTACATTTTCAGTAGTACGACTTTGTAAGTAAGGAGACACAACTCTCACGTTACACATCACTCTTTATAAGTATATCGTAATAAACAGGGTATGGATCAGCTACTCATTTTGGTCCCGTTGTATCTACCTTTAGATTGCTAGCTTTATCAGATTCCATAATTTTAATTTCCTCACAATTCTTTCAAAGGGCATGAGAGACAACATTTAAACATCCAAGCCTGGCATCATCCAAAATTCCAAATTATTCATTTGTCACCGAATAGGACAAAGACACCTGATAATAATAGCAACCCTCTTATCCTTTTATTCAATTAACCTTAAAGCCGCAACACCATATAACACATTCCCTGAATATTAAAATAAATAAATAATTAAATAAATAAATAAATAAAAAGTCATTAATTACTCTGCATGTGAAAGAGGAAAAATGAAAAGTGAACTACATAGCTAACTTATTATCAATTATGCATTCCATGTATTTGAGAACTATTTATGGACAGACAATAATACTTAATAATTTTGATACACCTACATTAACATATAAATGTCGAGAATGATTAATCTCACCTCGTCCATTCAGCAGACGCCTAATTGCTTCCAAGGAACCCCCCATACATAATGCTGTAGGAAATGTCTTTTTACAGTCCTACATGGTTAAACATGAGACAAGGAACTCTCAGAGCATATCTTGAGTTCTTGAAACAAGACTCATACACAATCTTCCAAAATCTAGCTGAAAGATGAGTTCCTATGTAAGGTGACAACAAAATGTGTCAGCCCAGCTAAAATTAAGGAAGGAGAATAACCTCCTTAAATATTGTCACAACCAAGACAGAATCAGCACTCGATTTCTTCTGAGTCAAATAGCAATGATTCGACTCACTTCTTTTTACACTATTTTGGGAACCCAAGGACTCAATCTCAATTGTATGGATATGTAAAATACAGATTTCCAATCCTAACAGGAAAGGGAGGGAAACAGATACTCAATTTAAAGTGAGTAAACAGAATTCCATACTCAAATCTCATTGATCTATAAGTGATTCATTAATACGCCGGATAAGATTCTGTCCCCAATCAGTTTGATCGAGAACAGATTCAAAAAGTCGCTACTTTCTGCAAATGACACTAGAAAAGGCTTTGCGGGCAATCTTGCCAGACCATCATCAGACTACACTGTGAACAAAAGCTGAACAATGATAAAGAATGCACATTGTCACACACTTCTCCTTAGCTGCAATACAATAAAACTCGCAATCCCACTCCTAATACGCTGCTACTCGTCGAAAACAACTATCAACTTAATTTCAAAATCTTCCTAATGAAGAGCTACCAGCTCAGTTAAAAGCTTAAACATGTAAAAAAAATTACAGCCAATTTCAGGAACAATAGCTAGCTCAAAAACAATCATCACTTGAATTTACAACTCAAATCACCTCCAATCGATCTAGTAAATTCTCAGCCACTGCATCCTGCAAAGAATCCTTCGGACGCATCAACCACGCAGCTCTATCTCGCTGCCCAGTGATCATAATTACCAAACAAGAACAAAGAGAGAAGGTTAGGTAAACTGAAAGGCTAAAAGTAGACATTTGCACATTCAATTTCATGTACAACCTAAAGAAGAAACACGAAAAAAACAAAAAATGCAACTAGAAGAGTATTGTGATTGAGCTCTGAACCTGTTTGCGCTTGAGGTTGCGATCGAAGATTTTGACTCTTGAGCTTTGGTCCGTACAATAGAGTCTACTGACTCTCCACATGACACTGTTTAGGCGTCTCCGGCAAAGGCCTCTGGCAGCCATCGTTTGCCGGCGGAAGAAAATCCGGTTGTCGAGCGTTTGATCTTTTTTTTTTTTCCCCGTTTACGTTGGTTTTTTCCGATTGGGTGATTCCAGTGATGAGAGGTAAGAGGCAAATGAATGGGCTCTTTATTGGGCTACACTGTTATAAGGCTCTTAGAGATGAGAATATTTGGGCTTTCTGAGGCGTAGCTTTATTGAAACTCTTGTCCAAACAAAGGGCCCAGCATGTAAATGTGTGTTAAGTGATATATATATATATATTTTTGAGATTACTCCGCCCATTTCAAGTTGGTAATTTTACAATTTACTAAAACATTTTCATAGATCTTGTTGCGATACAGAAANAATATCACCAGTCACATGATAGTTATATATATGTAATTCCATGGAAATTAATTAACATATATGGTCAATGCTTATATGTAAATTTCCCATTCTTAACTCATATATTTCAATTTTAGTAATACTTAATTTTATGTCTATAATCAACATGATAATAATTAAATTATTTTATTATTGAATCTCAAATATATTTGTACATATATAAGTTATGAATCTATAATAGAATACTTTTCTGATATTTTAACTGCATAGTGGATGCTATGATTATTATGAGTTCCGAATAAATTATCATTCTTAGGGAAATAAAAAAACGAGTTTCTTCTCCCTGCAGATAACAATAGATGAAAACTCATTTTCTAATACAAAAAGTAAATAAAAAGCAAATGATGCCCTACATTAGCATCATAAATATTCTTTTTTGCTACAAAAGCAAAGACAAAAAAACAACTTGATTTTGATGATCCCTATAAATAAATGCACAAAATAGTAGTAACTAACAAGAATGTTCTGAAAAAAGGGGAAGAAAAAAGAAAAGTTGAGATGATAAGAGAGTACTGAAAGTGAAACCAATTAGAGTTCATTTGTTTCTATTTTCTTGCTTAGATCCTTTTCTTGATCTCAGAGGATTCCTTTAATCCTTTTTCTTTATATCCATTCCTTTGTTTTTAGCCTCTCTTGTTGTCTTTATCAATTTTTAAGTATACAACTTTATCTTTTCTAATTTTATCCTTGATGATGACTAAGAATAAAGAAGAAAGGTGCAATAAAATGTTTGTATTATCATATTCATGCACTCACAAGTTATTTGTTATAAGAAATAATATGAAAAAAGTTACTACAATATCATGCATGAAAAATTTTAGTTTTCTCTTAACTAAGTTTTCATCTATTTAGCAAATTATACTCGTTTGTTTTGGTTAAAAATGGAGTTAAAAGGAAAACTCTAAACGAGTCAGAGCTCGAACTTCTGATACTTTGTAAGCTCGTCTTGAATATTTATTAAGTCAGAGTTTGTTAACTATATAAACTCAAACTCTACATGTTTATGAATTAACGAACTAAACTTGAGCCTATTTAATTGAGCTAAACTAAAAGTTCATAAATTTTCATAAAAACTCTATTCTCGAGCCTTTAATAAGACATGCTCGTTCATTAAATGAGCAATTATGAGATCGGATCTTTTATCAAATGTGTCAGAGTTTGAGCCTTAACAAATCGATCTGAATCAAACTCACGAGCTGCTCGTTTTGTTTAATAAGGCTATGTGCAAAATTTAGAATTCTTTTAAATAAAATAGTATTGATGCCATCACATTAACTTTAATTCATTATTCATCCACTCGCATAATTTTAACTACTCATTACTTCCACGTTCCAATCACCTCTCTCATATTTTTATGTAATTTAAATATATCGTTCATTTTTACTAATGATAACATTTAGGAAACGTGATATTCTCAGTTTCTAACTTATGATTTAAATATCATACATCTACATATGCATATAATTGAATAATAGTTAAAATAGAAATCATACGGCAAAAGTGCACTTGTTATGAACTTTTTATTTACTGATCGAATTGTGATTAGTACCTTTTATTAAAGTGAAACAACACACGTGTGTTCACTTAATAAAGTGGGCCATGAAAGAGATGGATTGGGCCTTTTGAGGTGCCAAAAGTGGCTTGGGCACTCACGTCTTCTTTTAGTTTAATTTTTTATGTACGGCCCATTTTACGGTCATTAACGACTGCACAAGAATTTAATCTGTCAATAATTTGCCAAGAGAAAATTTCTCAATTAAGTTGCGTTTGTCATATCAAGATGAGAATTTGGCAATAAATTAATTAATAATTTAAAAATTAATGTCGAGATAATAACTAATAGCAACTGAAGATTTTACTGATATAATAATATAATAAAAATATTTGATAGAATTACATGATAAGTTGGGTAAATCATATCTACTCTTTTGGAGCTTGGATTAGCATATAAGATAAGTTTAAAATTTTTAAAACGTTCATCCAACCGAAAAAAAAAATGAATACAATAAATATTCAATAAGCTTATATACTAACTAAATCAATTATAAGATAATTTGTTGTGCTTAAAAAAAAATTGGATTCTTAATAGAGTTGATGGATGCTAATTGTAGACTTGTGCCGGGTGATACGAGAGGCGACACAAAATTTGAGGTGAAAATCAAAAGAAGGAAAGAAAGGGAGTTGTATCGCCCTTTGTGCTCTTCTTAGCTGCAGTCTTGCCTTACAGACCGGTTTGCAACCTTGTCTTCAGGCGCTAACTCAGAGCTGCATCTTGGCTTGCAGCCGCTAGAACAAGTCATGGCTTACAGCCGTAGAAGGTTAAGCCCTTACTGGATTCTTCATCGGATTCCTCATCCCGGGCTTGTCTCGAGTTTTAACGTATGGTGATGTTCGAGAACACCCAAAGCACATGGGATTTGAACCCACTTGCCGATCCAAGGCGCTTGTCAGATACTGGAATTTAGGAGTGCCGAGTGTACCCGCCCCAGATAGGTGGTTAGACCACTAGCGTATGATCGGACATGTGTATTAGGGCTACAAGATGCCGGACATTAAGGCACGAAGATAGGACAGAAAAAAGCGATACTGGCACCCGTGATTCGCGGGACCACCCCGGTGCGAGCTTTCGTACAGAAGGGTCAAGGGAAGTGGAGTGACACATCGCCAAGTCCCACGTGTCTTGACCTGTTAAAACGACAAAAGGGTCAGCGACCACTCGTGGCTCCATACCGTATGGAAGGAAGCTACGCAAAGACAAGAGATCGAAAAGACAGAACAGAACAGATATGAACGAACGAAAGAGGAAGAAGACTGGGAGGAAAGTAATGCTTTAAGGGGGCTCTCTCCGGACTATGAAGCGAAGGGATAAGAACGCTATCGGGTTTCTGTCCCTTCCTTTCGAGGCCGGAAGAGCACGGCCAATTACAGTGGCCTGTCCCCTTCATTGAGGATAATCCGTGTCAGATTCGCTGCCACAGATTAAGCTCAATTACAGGGCTCTCCCTGGTCCTACGGACCGACTCGGCTTTGGGTTGTCGGACAACCCTTGTCTCCGGGCGTGCCTCTTACGGGAGGGACAGCTCCCCTTTCGCGTTCTTATCCCATCAATGGGATGATCCAATAACTCTATTAACTAAGTATATATATACAAAATTAGGGCTAGATAACCTAAGGCTAATACGATAAATATATAAATATACACAATAACACCCCCCTCAAGTTGGAGCATGCGGATTCCGAATACCCAACTTGCCAAGAAAGAAATCAAATTCACGTTTCCCAAGTGCCTTGGTGAAGATGTCTGCGAGCTGTGCCCCAGAAGGAACATGAGTAGTAGAAATGAGATCCTGAAGAACAGCATCTCGAACAAAGTGACAGTCCACCTCAATGTGCTTAGTGCGCTCGTGAAAAACCGGATTCGCCGCAATATGCATTGCAGATTGACTGTCACAGTGTAACCGCATAGGCTGAGAGTGAGCGACACCAAGAGTAGATAACAGTTCTCGTAACCACTTCAACTCGCATAATGTAGTAGCCATAGCACCAAGATTGTCATGGTGACAAGTTTGCTGCTCGGAGTCGTCGTTGTCTATTTGTTGGTTACCCGTTTGGCAAGAAGGGGTGGAGTCTGTAAGATTTGGATCGTCAGATTTTCTTTGTCTCTCGTGATGTGGAGTTTCATGAGACTGAATTCCCATATCAGTCAGACTCGTCTGAGACGGATTCTTTGTCACCGCCTCTTGTTGTGCCGGTTTCTTCTGCGTCGGATGATGATGAAGATCTTCCAGTTGTCTCTTTGCCTCACATGTTTCCTCATACTGGGTCTTCTGTTAGCGATATGGACACGTCTGACGACAGAGGGGGTTCTGTTACCAATACCCCTCCCACTCTTCCAGTGGAGCCCTTGGGTCGTGGTCATCGGACTAAGGTTCCTTTCACTCGGTTGAAAGATTTTGTGGTTGACACTGTCCGACCCTCGATTGTACCTCCCAATGCTTCTCCCCAGTCGTCTCCATCCTCTGGTACGCCTTATCCCATATCACATTATGTTTCTTGTGATTCATTCTCTCCAGCTCATCGATTGTTCTTGGCTGCTGTCGCCTCCACTGCTGAGCCTCGCACTTTTGCTGATGCTGTGACCGATCCTCGATGGCGATCCACTATGCAGGATGAGATTCGTGCCTTGGAGAATAATGGCACGTGGGATGTAGTTTCTCCTCCACTAAATGAGACCATTGTTCGTTGGTTAAACCGCCAAATGCAAGACGATCAGAATCACTCAAAGCTCCACTAGTAGTGGAAGAACCAACAGACCCGGCAACAAATGAATCACCGATACCCATTGGAGAACACCGCATTCGCAAGAGCACCACTCTCGCCGCGATCTCCACCACGGAGGCCACCACTAGAATTACAACCATGGCCACCACCAGGACCGAACCAATCTGGATATCCAATAATATCAAAGCAAGTAGCGGCAAAATGACCCATTCGACCACAATGAGAACACTTGGAACGGCTACTAGCACGATGTCCAGCAAGTTCGGTGCTACCTTCAGCCGCGCTTGTCAAAGAATCTGCCATGGATATCGAAGAATCTGTTTGTAATNAGGGGCCGCAATCAGAAACTCAATTTTGAGAAATTCACTTGCGATCTGAACATTTTTTTTTTTCGGATCAGCAAAAATATTTGACAGATAAATTTTTGCGATCAGAAAAAATCAAGATCTGTCTCTGATACCATGATACGAGAGACGACACAAAATTTGAGGTGAAAATCATTTCAATGGGATGAT